TATGACCTGGGATAATGTCGGGATACAGAGACCAGAGAACAAGTACATGCTTCTTCAGGACCTGGGCAAAAAATAGGGAATAATCCCCCAAGACAACATATGTAACCTGCAATCTACAATGGCAGCCACACACTGTAGGCCCGTGAATTTCACAAAAAAAACCCTGTTAATCATTCCTATTGATTACAAATGTTAACCAGGGCATTTACTGCACCATGTACTGTATGTTCAATAACAAATGAGTGTACCTGCAACAAAAAGTTATTTTTCTATAAATAGTTTTCTCTTAAAGTTATAAGAGGTACATTTTTTCAATGTTCAGCATACATACATAAAGATGATGTTTTAATTAATAAATGTATTATTTTATGGAATTTAAATTTCAAATTAAGCTTGATAATACCTATATATATGCTGGGTGCAAAACTGAATAAAAATAACATATACTATAAGTAAAAAAAAATATAGAGGACAAAAAGCCAATTCTGGTGCCAGAAGTTTACTCATTTCACCTCTTTGGTCAAGCAGTTTAGAGCTAACCTGACTGTGAAATAACACTTTATCACCTTAAATGAGACATGTCATAAAACTTAATGTTTCTCTGAAAAAGTGTTTCCTATAGATGAGGGTTTAAGGATCATGTCTCAAGGTGCATGTACTGAAAATGACAACTTCATTTCCCTTTTTCTTTGCTAGTAATTGCATTATGCCATTGTTTTTACATTGCTGCCATTCAACTAACTTAGATCAATATTCTATTGGGAAGCTATCTCCATATGTCATTCTAAGCACTGTTCTACTTGAGTGAAGTAAATGAGTTTGGGACCAACTCTTTGTCTTTTTAGTGCATTTTCAATTTCACACATAGATTTAATATCAGCACTCTCTTCATTTCATGCAGGCTTTGAGATATTTTTATTTCCATTTAGCAGTAGTTCAATACAATGACCCTATTAAATCACCACTGCCATTTTCATCCAGAGTGACAGTGAAAAAGTATCAGGTCTGTATGGTTAAAGGCTGATTAAAAACATACACTATGTATCAAACACATTTGGTCTGACATAAGATGCATTTTTTAGCCCCTATTTCACATGTGAGATTCAAACTAAATTTAAGGTATGAAATCACTGCCTATTACAATTTTATACAACACAAGTAAAGGAGTATATTAGTTTACATGGACAGGGAGAGTTGGCACTGCCCTCTTTCAGTAAGTATATTTATTTTCTTTTACAATGACAATAAATCTGGAAGACTATTGGTAGTGCATTTAATCCATACTGTCGATCAGATACACTGATGATAATTATAATGAATGATTATGTAAAAATAATCCCCCAAAAAACTTTCAACTATTGATACTGTTATTTAGGCATACATCTTATCTGTCTTTTAATTTCTACACAAAGTATAGATTGCTACAGAAGCCGTTCCTGCGGTTACAAACTGCACTTCAACAGGACCTTCAGAACGAATAAAGCAAATAATGCAAACTCTTACATTAAACATTTTAACACAGAGGGATAATAGTGTCTTTCAAAACTTTCTAATGCTGACTAATGACACAATCCAGCAAAAAAGAAATCACCTGCTCACATCTGAAATCTGTGGCAACTCGGGAAACCAAGAAAAGGGGTGACGTTTTTGTGACATACAGTATGGAATTAAGGATGTTCCTTAACTTTCAGATGTTGCATTAAATTAAGTCTTCAAAATATAATTTTTATGGCAGTTACTGATGTTGAATGCTATTGCAAACTTGAAGAACATCGTTTTGTAAGGTATGGTTGAAATAAAGTGAGGTCATATTTGACGATAATCAGGTCACACTTATTTTAATAATTAAAATCAAATGGAGGCAGAATGAAGGGGGAAAGTCTCTAATAAAACATTTCAGCAAGTTAAATATTTGGAGTCTATTAAAGTCATCTCTTCCTGTACTTCTTTAGATCCCAGACAAAATCAAGGCCTAAATTATTTACAATAATTTAATATTTAAAGTCTGCTAATATTATCCAGATGAGCTCTGATTCATGCAAAATGGTATTCTGTATGTGAAAATATAAAATTCTTGATAAGGTCAAAAAATTACCCTCTTTTAAGGTTCTGTAGTATTCTGTCAATTATCATAGAATCAATTTTTACTTTTAGTAAAATAAAAAGATGTTCCTTTTGTATTTTCAGTTTATGGAGGTATTATTCATCTAAAAAGGCCAAGTAATAATGTGTTGCTATGGCATTATCATTAATTTATATGATCATTTAATTAAGAATGCACCCTTCATTGTGAGATGAGATCTTATTGCTCAATTAAAAACAAAAAAATAATAATTTTACATGTTTATTCACAGAGTAGAAACTGCAACCCACAGAATAGTCAGTAGATATATTGCATATTTCCTGATTTATTCTTAAAGAAAACTTAGAATCAAAACAAC